GATAGTTTTCTCGAACTATTCAATGGTGGACTTGGATCTGACCTTGACAATGACCTTCAAGTCGATTTTTGTAACCAGGGAACAATCCTGAAAGAACAGTAAAGTCAGTTTATCTGGGGATTACACAGTTTTTTGAATTATCAAGAAATTAAGGTAAACTTGTGCTTGACCTTGATGGTCAAGTCCAAGGTCAAGTTCCAAAAATGATCAAGGACATACTTGAACATAGGGTGTTCCCTTTTTTCATTTTTGCGGTCAAAAGTATAGGGTCCCATTAAAAAGAGTAGACTTCCAAATGACCTTGAAAGTCATGGTCAGTTAACATTGGATATACGGGGAAAAATCATAATTATAATGGGTAGTTTCCCTAAATGACAACTGGGTTTCAAGTTATCTCACCACCCTAGGATTGATAGGAGTTTTCCCCAGCTATCCAATCGTGACCTTGACCTGATCGTGACCAAGACGATTTTTGTAGCCAGGTAACGATCCCGAAAGAACAGAGTGAAGTCAGTTCGTCTGGGGATTACACAGTTTTCTGAATTATCCAAAAATTAAGCTGAATTTGTGTTTGACCTTGATGGTCAAGTCGAAAGTCAAGTTATCAAATTATGGAATTAACTGGAAAACTCCCAGCGATTGATAGTTTTCTACAGCTATACAATCGTGACCTTGGATCTGACCTTGACATCAAGGCGATTTTTGTAGCCTGGGAACAAGCCCGACAGTGAAGTTAGTTTATCTGGGGATTACACATTTTTCTGAATTACCAAGAAATTTAGGTAAACTCGTGTTTGACCTTGGTCTAAGGTCAAATTCCAAAGGACATATATGAACATGAAGTTTTCCATTTTCTCCATTTCCGCGGTCAAAAGTATGGGGTCTTTTTAAAAAAGAGTCGACCTTCAAACCACCCTGAAAGTCATGGCCAAGGTCAGATTAAAGGTCACCACTGGATATCCTGGAAAATATTATGAAAATAATGTCTAGGCAGTTTTCTCTAATGACAACTGGCTTTTAAGTTATATCACCGTACCCGGGTTTGACCTTGACCATGACCCCTAAGGTCAACATTTAAGAATGATCAAGACCGTATTTGAACAAAATTTCCTGTTATTTTCATTTACGGGGTCAAAAATAGGGGGTTACTCTTAAAAAATCGACTTTTACTTCAAATGACCCGAAAGTCATGGTCAAATTCAAGGTCACCATTGGATAGCTGTGGTAAGCTCCTATCAATTTCGCGGCTACGTTTTTTCCTACTACAATCAGTTACACATCACAAATTATCATAGGGTTTTGGAACTTTTCAGACAAGCTGTATGTTAAATACAGGAAGTGACCACTTCAGTAGCCTGGTTCTGATAATGTTACGTCTTAATAAATTCAAAGATTGATGAATTTAGGTAACTTAATGCAGTTCAGTGCTGAAGTGGTTCTATGTTGTATTGCAGACTGAAAAACTGTAAAAAATATGATTTCAACAGCATTTATAGGATTTTTAGTACAATGAGGACATTTGGAGATCACCTCCAGGACATATTCAAAAGAAGTTTAGCAGTTGATCCCAACTACTTGTTATTTACGTTTTTCAGTTCATCAAGTTTGAATAAGGGATTAATCAGTTGCTATAAGGGCATTTCAAGGTCACTTCAAGGACAAATTCAAAATAACTCTAGTATTTGAGTTCAGACATGTGTTATATAGGTTCTCTCAGTCATTAAGTCCAAGTCAGAGATTGAATTATCTGTAGGAATGCATTCTAAGGTAATAATAGGTAATAATTTTCAATACTATGATTATCAATTATCTCCAGGTTTTTGCATAGTGTGAGCTACAATGCATCATCTAAAGATAATAAACAAAGCATCCTATTACACATAGTTTTATACAAGGCAAATTAATGAACTAACCACATTGTAAAGTTGAGCATTTTCTAGTATCTTTTTTTGCAATTCTTCATTTAATATACTGATATCAACATTCTGTGGCATCTCCATAGATTTGTTTTTTCCTTTTTTAACACTATTGCTATCTTGTAATTCTTGTTGCAAGACTGTTATCCTTTTTGTTAGCTGATCGTTCCTGAATGTGAGGCTTTCCATTTCCTGTTCCCTTTTTCTGATAGTTTGCTCGTAGTTTTTTACTAATTCACATAACTCTCCGTTTTTCGTCTGCTCATCCAATACAGCCTTTTTAAGCACTGTTGCCTGTGAACGAATCTGTAAAAAGGGGAGCATAATATGGAATTTCATATATTTTGGTTTAACAAATCGTAGATTTATTTACCTTGGAGTATTCACCGGCTAACTTTTGATATTTTGTTTCTAAATCAGCTTCCTTATCCATTTTTTAAACGGTTAATTTGCAGGTATCGATTTCTATCTGTGTAAAATTAAAAAATAAATAAATTCAATAACAAATAAATTCATCCCCTGCTCTCAGAAAGCAAAACTCATTGACAGCAAAGTTAACCAGATTGTGTACTACACTGAATACTGTTTGGAAGGAAGAGTAGGTAACTTTAATTTGTAATTCCCAACTTGGCATTATGCATTTTGAATTCGTTAGAGTTGTTGTTGAAGATTTATTTAGCATTAATGCTACCATGTCAATTTTGTATAATGATTCGGTTAGATATTTTTCTTCAATCCATTTTCTGTAATATTACGTTCTTGTCTATTAAAATTTAATTTACGTCACTATGTATTTTGATTATTCATAAAGTGATTTTTTAATTTCACCTTAAACATTTTTAAATTCGAACTCAGTTTAATATCATTATTCAATTTATTAAATTCAAATACTCCCTTTTGAAATATAGATTTACTAGTTATGCTACTATTACAATTTTGCAGACGAAAATCTATACTGCCTCTAGTTTCGTAGTTATGATAATGACTATTTAATTTTGTTCGACATTTAACAGGCATTTTACTCAGCACTATTTCATTCACAAATTTCATCATGGAGAACGATACATTTGTTGTTTTTTAAGGTTTTTCCATGTTTACACATTCGTAAGCAGAAAAATGGTAAATCCTTCTCATTGGTTTTTTGTTTCTGGTGGCTGCTGAGTCTAGGTCACACTACTGACCTATGCCTTCCTTTGATCTATTGTTTTATGATTAGTGACATTTATTTGACTTATATTTGACGTTTTGTTTATTTTTCGAACACGAGAAACGAGAGTAAAAACGCATTGTTGTTATTCGAACATTGATTTTTCTAAGCTATTGCAGCATATAAAAAACAAATAATGGCAAAACAAGGAACTCTGACGAATTTTGTTGCAAGCTTGTACCACGACGAATTCAAATGGTAAGATAAACTTGCATGATAGCCAAAGATAGGTTAACTAATTCAATCAATATTTTATAGGGCTCTTGTAAAATCAATTGGTTTATTCGCTCTGGGAATAAGAATTGCACAGGAGTGTATAGGAATGGAGCTGCTACCTTCTCAAGGGTAATAATACTTAGTTGTCAAAATCTCTTGTACACTTAAGTTCATAGTATATATAAAATATGGGATATATTTTGTCATTTTGTTATGTAAGCTGGATATAATACATTTTTGTTAAACATACGAGAACCCTTACAATTTGTTTCAATCATGAGCAGGCTGGATAATTCAAATGATCTCATATCTGCAAAATTGCAGACACAGCTTAAACTACATATATCATGTTTCTAAGTGTTATGTAAGTACCCAAGTACTACGCACATAGGGTCATGTCACCATATCAAGATGTATTAAGTCTTATTCAAAGTTACTCTAAAGCAGGGCTGGCCAACATATGGCCCGCTAACTCCTTTCTTGCGGCCCGCTTTACGGGTCATGTATACATCACATGTATAAATTACTCTCAAATACCGAATATGCACAATTCTTACATTAACTCTGTAATAATGTTGTATAGAAAGATTTTATAATGCGGCCCTCCAAACTGCATTTTTTTTTGAAGTGGCCCTTGGGCCTCATTAAGTTGGACAGCCCTGCTCTAAAGTATTCTGTTAATGCTTCCTGTGTTGCATTCGGTTTTTGAGTGATGACATACATTGGTATTATACCAATTAATTAAGAGTAAGTAGATGGAGCGAGCCTTTAAAATATCAGTATGTAGTCAGGATGCAAGTGCATACTACAAGAGGAGTTGACAGGTGACTTTGACAGTTCTGTCATTAAGCTCATCTTTTTATCATTATGTTTTAAAAGTGTGAGTGTTTGCAGATAGTTGTGGTGATAGATGATTTCAGGAGATGGTACATCTGGCACTTTTCAAGTATTGTGTGGATACAACATTGTCACTGTGGTAAGCATAACACTGCTAACATGTCAAGTGAGTCAAAATAATGCACTAAAACTAAAAGTAATTTTGGTGACAAACAATGCAGTGTAAACATACAGGTTTGGCTATTTCTAATCTGTTTGAATTTATTGGTATATACCATTAATATGGTATGTACAGAGGCTATACAAAATGACAACAGGGGGCTGAGGCAAAGATGACATTTGTATCAGGTCTGGCATAAATTTCACATTCTGTATACATCAGTAGCAATAAGTAATTAGCAAAGCCTTAGTTCGATCATGCCTTTGAAATATATTAACTTGGGAATCGTTATACCTGACAATTTCTTGGTATCCATAGTGGATGATGTACAGCTTATTGTTAGGGCACAAGACACCACAATGGAATAGCACACACAGAAACAATGATGAAACTATTGCATGAAAAAGAAATATTTTCAAAAAACCCAGCTAAGTTGTGCAGCACATGAACTTCTGTCATTTTGACAGATTTGTATGATAAAAATTGTTCTGCCAAAGATTCTATGTATATCAAACATAGAATCTAAGAAAGCTATCCCACATCCTTAAATAATTTTGAGTTTTGGCACTCATAGAGACTCTAGTCTATGTGGTCTCAAGGCACTCTGACAGGAGATATCATAAATAATAATGTTGTGAATGAGTTTAAAAACATTTTATTTCAGCTCCACTTTAAAAAGATATTCACATAGAAAAAAAAATCTTTGTGATGCATTGATCACAAGATCATTCCTTAATCTGTACATATTTACAAATTCACTAAGTTACATGGCACATAAATATTTACAAAAATTACTAATATCACATATTTGGTCCCTAAAATACTTTAAATGCATATGGTAGTTACTCCTCATTGTTTTAAACAATCTTAAAAGTGAAACTGAGGAACTTACTATGAGTAATTATAAAGTACACTTGTGAGAACTTGTTTGCCTCTTTAACTCTACCCTAGCAAAAAATTTGTCATTGCTAGTTTTTCAGTCTTTCCGGTAACTGATAAGTTAGATACAGAGTGAGTGATTATTTAGACTGGACTATTTTGTCCTTTGACCATTTGCGAAAAACCGCTGCTAAAATTTGAATATATAGGGTGAGAAACTATTTCGAAAATAACATTATTTATTGAAGACTGGTCAAAATAATTATGTATGTAATATTGTCTTTTTCACGAGTATCCGTTACGGAGGATGATTATTAAGGCCCGTATCATCAGTCGTCCCTACAATTGTAGGGCGCGTTTATGGCCTCCTTGATTGTCATGCTCCTATCTCTTCTTCAAAAATTTCTAGATTGTACCTGTCCCGTGTCAGCGTCAGCGCTCTCCTATTGTGAAGATATGTTTTCTTTTTAAATTGTAGGAAATTAACATAAAACATAATATAACTCAAAAGCAAGCACAATTTGATGCAAATAGATGTTTGTGACATAACCTCAAAATAGAGCGCTGACTCGAAGAAGTAGAAAACTATGACAATCAAGGAGGCCATGAAGGCGCCCTACAATTGTAGGGACGACTGACGATACGGGCCTTAGTAATATTTCAAAATTCCCCATATCGACAAATGACAGTTAATTCTGACAGATTCTTCAAGGCCAGGTGGACAGAGCCGTATATTGTTTTGTTTTTTGTACGCTACGGATTCATTATATCCTTGCTAACAACTCCTTTATTTAGAAAAGTTCATTTGCATAGAAGAAAAAAGACGCTACTAGCAAGTTTTACTAATTTTGCACCCGATTCATTATTGACAATGGTTAAAGACTAAGGGCCATATCGTCAGTTGTTCGTACAATTGTAGGACGCCTTTATGTCCTCCTTGATTTTCATAGTATTTTCTTTCCTTCGATATTTCCAGATTTCTACTGCTCCTTGTCAGCGTCAGCGCTCTCATATCGTCAGGCTGTTTTCGTCTGGAATTGTAGGAAATTTCAGGCTATATAACAAATGATATAAATCAAACGCACGAACAATTTGATTCGAATAGATATTTGCAACATAACCTCAAAATAGAGCGCTGACACGGAGCACTAGAAAACTATGAAAATCAAGGAGGCCATAAGGGCGTCATATAATTGTAGGATCGACTGACGATAGGGCCCTAATACACTTGTTGATCAGCTGTTCACCTTAGTTGACGTCAAAACGTGATGGATCCGCGTGTAATAGTGTTTACATTGTTCTTGTCATTGACTGTAGAGCCCCTTCAAATAACCCAAGACATTTGCTTATTGAGTTACATCTAGCATCCAGCTATTATTTGAAAAAGATGTATATAAGGAGTATCTATTTTTCCATCCTATAGGCTAAGAAGCTATGTAATACATGTTGATAGGATGTCCGAGGCTTGGTTTGTAGAAAGAAATGCTGCATTCTGGGACTGATTATATTGTTCACTTTACCTGAATCATATAAAAAACTTCGAAGAAATTTTATTTCACCGAGCTTATAAAGACAACAAGTAAATAATCTGAAAAGTGCATTAGGGCACGTTTGGAGCAGTTTAGGACCTAAAACGTTGAACAGGTAGGTAGGACATGCACGCGATACTTTTTGGCTTAATTGGAAAATGTAGTGAACAAACCAACCCTTCCCTTTTTCAAGCGTTTTGTTTTTTGATTAAAAAAATGTAGTGGGCTATAGTTATGCACCACTCACTTTTACGTGTTTTTCATTAATCAACACCCAATTACGTATTTTGTTGTTAAATGAATTTGAATAAGCTCTATATTTATCGTTTTTATTGTTGGTGGGACTATAGTTATACTCTCCAGTTTATTGTTTAGTTGCTAGATTCAATATACCGTGGAGTGGAGTATTTTGTTTACAGGATCTTTATCTTTCTATCTCTCTTCATTTTCGACATAAAAATTAAACTTTATACGATTCTCTCGATCTTAATGTTTCAGTCAAGGACAATCTGATGATCATCTCAGACGATCTGTGATTTTTGGCTTCAAGCTGTCCTTCGAGACAGTCTTATTCATATCACGGCTTACAGTTGGACCATATGAGATATTCAACAGCACTCTTTCTTAATCCTGATCTTCTCACTCAGCTTATTTTTGATGTCCATCTTCACAGCGGAATCCAGACAACTGTAGCTTGAATAGCTGTGTTCAAAGTTAGGGAAGTAGAAAGTGTGTGGTTCTTTGACGGTCTTTTGTCTTGTGGAACCAAAGTACTTTTTGGCTGCTACTGATGAGAGGATGTCTTCATTCATTCTTTCATTCGACCTCTTCTTCACTTGCATCTGCTCCTCAACTGTGTGGTTCTTTACGTGTTTCCTCAAGCTGCTGGGATCTGTGTATTTTTTCGTACAACCAATCACTTGACAGGCGTATGGTTTCTAAAAAAAAGTATCAGATTATCAGTTATAGACACGTACATAACACATATTTAGTAGCATTTTAATTTTGCTTTACTATCTGACAAATGGAAAAGTACCTTTCATCCAATGGTGTCTCTATGAAAATTTTAAGGCTATTTGGAATTGACGTTAAAAATGTGATCGTTTCATCGTAAAACTTAATATATTTTCTTAGAGCCGTTTTACACACAAGAGAATTACTCCGAAAATTATGGTCATGATTATGCCGAAAATTTGCTTCGAAAAAATATGAAGATTTTCTCTACAACCTGTATGACACAAGCAAACAAAATTTCCGAGTAATTTATATGATACGCCTGCGCATTAGAGTAATATTTTCGAATATTATAAAACTTCTCAATGCTTGGACTATCGCATCCAGCGCCTGACACCGTAAATTTCTGTTTTTGTAATTGGGAGACTTCACCTTGTACAGGTTTGGCCATTTTTGGCACTCCTCCAACAACAGAGTAACTTCTTCCCTGCTTCCACGACATTATGAATAAACAATAACAATAAACGCTTCTTCGTACGACACTAACAGGACCACACCCACAAATGTTAAGTGAGGTTATGTTGTTGACGTTGACATTTGATAATGACATGCACGGAAATGACCCTCTGCGCCGATTCTCGCGTATATTCTATAGAACGGGTTTTATATTTTTACCATGAAAATTTTCACAAGAATTCTTTTAGGTGTAATACGAGAGCAAAAATTTTCGGCACAATTATAACCATAATTTTCGGAGTAATTCTCTTGTGTGTAAAACGGCTCTTAGAAAGGAGAAAACGCTGTCCGCCATGTGTGCTCTGAAGTCATACCTTTTGTAAACACCAGCTGACAGCAGCATAACCTCAAACGTTTTAACACATAAGGTTTGAATGGCTTGTGAAAAGTAAGATTATGCAAGTGTATTACTTATTCTTTCTTTTTATGTCTATCATTTTATAAGATGCACTGTACTTATATAGAAGTCTTAGTGAATCTTTCTAAAAGGGGATTATGTTTAAAAATAAAAAGAAATTTCTTGAAAAAAATGGTGTCTTCATTTCTAACACGGGTACTTATTGAACCGCCCCCGTATGTCAAGTAGCCTATTAGCTAGGTTTTTCATACAAAATGTAACATTTAAAAAAATTTTAGTCTTCAAACATTTTTTGAGCACGCCTTGAAGTGACCAGGAAATTAAAAGACGTTGGAAAACAGGGTTTCAGGTTTGTAGCGCCTCTAAAAATATTTTTTAACTACTCTGAAAATTCATGAGAATCCCAACAAACATCGAACAGCAACAAGTTTGGTAATGTTAGGGATACGTTGAATATATCACAAATTCAGCATCAACTACAAATCACTTTATGAATACCCAAAATGCGTAGCTATCTAATTTCAATAGGCAAAAATCTAAAATTACAGAAAATTGTTTCAAAAAGAACCATTATACAAAATTGACATTGTAACAATAATGCTACTAAATAAATTTTCAATAAACAAACAAAAGTTTGAAAAAAATTCTGCTTACCGTATCAAAATGTGTCCGTTGGTGTTTTGCTCTATCCGAACTATTGGAGAAACTTTTAGTGCAGTTCGAGAATTGACATAGATATGGCCGCTCGCCCGTGTGGCTCCTTTGATGGATTTTCAGATTTTCCAATCTTGAGAAAGCTTTGTTGCATCCTTCAAACTGTAAAAGATAAAAAACGTTGAACGTTATAACACTATATATCGCATCATCCTTGGAAACAAATAAATTGTTGATTAGTTACAAACTGTCAAAATTAGCTTTGTGAGCATTATAATAAAAAAGTGTTTGAATGAATTTTTCTAAAGAAGAAATGGTGAATATGGTGTTCCTTTAAAGAAATAGTTTCCTAGCTTCTCGCATTTATAAGCAACGGTACCGTAATATGCGACATCCAAGGCCGGACATATTTTCCACACTACGAGAACGTTTTGAATCAAGTGGAACAGTGGAATATAGTAAAAAATGTATAAATGATACAAGTGTCACCAATGAGGCGAATCAGTTGGAGGTTCTATTAAAGTTGCAGGAAAATCCCCATTTAACAACAAATGAACAGGTACAGAATACTTGATTTTTTTGATCGAGCATTTGCCTTTGCTTTTGGAGGATGTCAACCTGCAAACTCGGATGCATATGTATTTACAACATGACGGCGCACCTGCGCATTATCATAAACGTGTGTGTAACTATTTGGACACCTGGAGTAACAATCGTTGGATCGGTCGTGATGGGCCTATATCTTGGCCTCCTAGATCACCAGATATGACCCCGATGGACTTCTATGGGACTGCGTTAAGCAGGAGGTTTATAGATATCCACCATCTACCCCGGAAAATATGAAAGGATTAAGGGTGCTTTTCTGAACATAAGAGAACACATGCTGAGGGATGTGCAACGGTCATTTATTTAAAGACTACGGCTGTGTATTAAACATGGTGGAGATATTTTCAAACAGCTTTTGTAGATTAGGTCTTGAGTAGTGATAGTTGTTTGTTTATGTTGTTGTTATAGTTGTTTTTCTCTATTACGCTTGAAGCTTATTTATACTGTTCTGATTGTTATTAGTTTTTACGTCAAATCTGTACTCTTAGTGGCAATATGGAAATAGCCCATTGTTTGTCTTTTGTTACCATGGATGATGTGATTTTTTTCCTTAATTTTGGTGTGTTGTTCTATTAAAAGCTTAATAACTCAAAATCTAGTGATTTTATCTGAATCAAACCTTATACCAAAAAAAGCTTATAAAAAATTGAACCCAGGCTTGCACAAATATACAGGGTGATGCATTTGAAATTTTTGAGAAAAAGCACAATTCGCGTTTTTCACCACCCTGTATGAGCAATAATGAAAATTTGAAAAAGTAATAAATAAGATAAAAGCTGAGATTGTGCAAGTTTTTTTGATATAAAATTCAGCACTCCAAATTTCAAAATGGCGGATTGAGGGGTTGCCGAAATGGACGGTTTTTTTGGACAAAACACCTAACATCTCAGTAGCTAATTACCAAAACCCCATAGTATTTTATAAAAAAATCTTCTTCTTTTGAATTGGTTTATCCAAATAAAATTTGAGTCATTCCATTTAAAAAATTACAAATTTGATATGTAGTTCATAATTGCCAATACTTTAGAAATGTGCCCTCAAATGTCATGTATAACATGCCATAAATAGATTTTCCCAAAATGTATTGGTTTATGAGTAATATTCCGTCCACGCATGGATGGACCACCCTGTATATGAATGGAAGGTACCGAGATAATCTACTTGACACTATTTTTTTGGAAAATATTTATTAAATCATCAATAGCTGAAGACAATCTTAGTGTTTAGAGATTTTCTGTTCCTGAAGACAGTGTCAACTCTCATAGTTATAGTTGTTTAAAGAAGATAATTCAGCTACCTTTGAATGTGAAAAGTTTCAGCTTTTGCAGTTGTTATCTGGAAGGTCAACAATAGGAACTATTTTCACGATAGCTATACGGAGGATTTTGCGCTCGGGAACTTATAGTTTGGCGTATGGCCTAAAAACTTGAGTGGGCTTGTTGATAATACTACGTATTTTTCCTTTCAAACGTCTGTTGAGGCACCTGTAAGCTGGTGACCCCTGCAAGGGGCCCAGAGGAATGTTTCTCCGGGGGGCGATCTCCGGCAAGATACAGCTTTTTGTGAAAATGTACCTGCCCCAAAAACTTTTTTAAGAGCGGGGATGAACAATTTTCTCAGGGGAGCCTGAAAATTCCCAAAATTCTAAATATATACATCTTAAGGTCCAACCGGCTACATGGCCCTGTTGCCCCCCTGCAGGGGCCGATGGGCTCAAGTTTAACCTTCCAAAAATTAACAAATCTGGAAAATGTGTTATAATAAGAAAATATAATACTTACCGGACATTTATTTGGCTTCTCCCCGCTGTGTACTCTCATGTGTATTAAAAGCTTATACCTCGCATTGAAGGGCTTCGTGTTCCTTGGACAGTTTTCCCAAAAGCATGTGAATTCTTCACCTGCATCAAAGCAAAGTATGAAATCAAACCAGTCACTGTACAGATAAATGCCTAAAACTCCACATTTAGGATACTCAGATATTGAGATATTTGATAAAAAGTGGATTCAAGTAGACTGAGTGTGCTTACTACATCAGCACTTAAAAATTATTAGAAGTTTGGAAAACATTGAAAAAGGAAGATAGAAACGTCTTATCATGATTTCGCGGCTGCTGGTTCTATGTCCTTAGGACAGATATAAATAAAAGTCATTGTCCAATTGGTTATCATTTTTATAAACTTGTATGCCATTAGTTCGTGCCATAGCAAAGATATATTTTTTTAATTAAAACACCTTATACAGGATGTTTCAGTTTATTGTTGCATAACTTTAAGATTCGATAGAACTTTTAAAATTAATGCATAAAGTCTATATAAACATGGGTCGGAAAAATGCGTGGCTTCCGAAATACAGGGTGTTTAAATTTACTTTCTAAAATAGTTTTTTTAAATATTTCGAACAATATTTGATGCATAACAGTGAAAATTGGTATACAAGGGTTTTTTGGTACTCAAAACGAACCATGGGCATAGTTTTACTGTAGCCGCTAGAGGACGCTCTCTACTGTACCAGTAGTGTATTAAAATGTCCGAAAATTTTTTCTTAGTGCAATATTTTGCTTTTTGAATAAAAAAACTGATTCTTCGCATTTTTCAACATAAAAAAGCTCTCTTGTGAATTTTTGTTATAGTTAGCCGTTTTTGAGATATTTCGATTTTTAAGGTTCGATGCATTTTTAATTATTTATGATAAAATAACGTTAAAAAGTCAGCATCTCGATAATTTTTAGAAGTAGGCTGTGCCTGCAAATATTTTTGAAATTGAAAGCAGAATAAGGTTAAACGTCAATTAGTAGACAGTTAGTTTTGTTTTTTTTTGCATTTGTGAATGCACGAAATTTAGTTTCTTTACCTGTTTTTTTTTGTAAGTTTTGATAAAAATGCCATTTTTATTCTCCAATCAAGAGTTAGCGGATATTCATTTTGTGTATGGCTTTGTAAATGGAAACGCAGCAGAAGTAGCCAGAGAATACGCACGAAGATTTCCAAACAGACGACATCCAACAAGCTCAGTATTTGTAAGAGTGCATCGCCAAATAATTGAAAATGGTTTTGGAAATCTCCAAAGGGATCAAAACATAATTGTTCGTCAGCGCAGATTTACCCGTATGATTCTGCGTGAGTTTGATAGAGATCCGACCACAAGTGTTAGGCGAGTTTCTGGTGCCTTGGGAATTTCAGCAAGCCATGTTCACCGTGTTCTTAGAAATGACCATAGACGTCCTTACCATTTGCAACCTGTGCAAGGACTACAGCCAGGGAACGGAGAACGAAGAATCACATTTTGTCAGTGGATTCTTGATAGAACTGATAATAATAGGGAATTTTTAAGTAACGTTTTATGGACCGATGAGTCATGCTTCACTAGACGTGGAGTGGTAAATTTTCATAATCAACATATTTGGTCGCATGAAAATCCACATGCAGTTCGGGAAAGAAATTTTCAGCACGAATTTAGTGTGAACGTGTGGATTGGTATCTACCGTAATCGACTATTTGGACCCTACCTTTTGCCTGCAAGGTTAAATGCTGCGACCTTCTTGGAATTTTTAAAGGCTGAACATGCAAATATGTGGGATGATGTTATGTTAGATTTAAGAAGATTGATGGTTGTCCAGCTCATTATTCGAGAATAGTTAGAAACTTTCTGGACGAAAATTATCCAGAAAGATGGATCGGCCGTGGAGGACCAGTCACCTGGCCTCCACGATCCCCTGACCTAAATCCATTAGATTTCTTTGTGTGGGGATTTCTAAAAGAAAAAGTGTACCAGACTCCCGTAACCACAAGAGATATGCTAATAGAGAGAATCAGGAATGCATGTGATGAAATAAGGCCTTATTTGAATAATGCTATACCACGTTCGATCATTCGTAGATGTGAATTGTGTATTGAACAATTGGGTTTACATTTCGAGCAACTACTTTAGATTTTGTATGTTTGTCCTAACTATCCAATAGGATTTTAGTTGTAAATAATTAATTTAATTTGTTAAAAATAATATTGGAAAATTAAACAAATTAATATTGTTTTTTTGTGTTTATTTGGAGTTAGGAATTATTGCTGTGTTTAAAAACACAATCTAAACGATCATCTTAATTACTTGTAATGCCCAAATCGAAAATGTAAAAAAAATATTATTTTCCCATAAATAATTAAAAATGCATCGAACCTTAAAAATCGAAATATCTCAAAAACGGCTAACTATAACGAAAACACACAGGAGAGCTTTTTTATGTTGAAAAGTGCGAAGAATAATTTTTTTTATTCAAAAAGCAAAAAATTGCACTAAGAAAATTTTTTCGGTCATTTTAATACACTACAGGTACAGTAGAGAGCGCCCTCTAGCGGCTACAGTAAAACTATACCCATGGTTCGTTTTGTCGTACCAAAAAACCCTTGTATATCAATTTTCACTGTTAAACATCAAATATTGTTCGAAATATTTGAAAAAAACTATTTTAGAAATTAAATTTAAACACCCTGTATTTCTGAAGCCACGCATTTTTCGACCCATGTTTATATAGACTTTATGCATTAATTTTAAAAGTTCTATCGAATCTTAAAGTTATGCAACAATAAACTGAAACACCCTGTATTGTATTGCGTACTTGAATAGAGCTCTTAAAAAAATAATTTTTATAGCATATAGTATATGGTTTCTATTGTCAATTGTTTAGATATTTGGTAAATCGTCTGAAAAAAATCCCCAGCTTTGACGGTTCACAGCTCCGCGATTTTTAAAGATATTTAGATAAATCAGCGTAACATCGATAACAATAAAATTTTTGTGGATTAAAATTTATCAAATATCCTCAAAAATGGCGAGCCGTCAAAGTTGGGCATTTTTTCAGACATTTGACTACATATCTAAAGAATTGACAATCGGAACCATATGTTATAAGATATTCAACTTATTTCTCTAGAAGCTCTACCCAAACATGCAATAAAATATAGGGTATTCTATTTAAAAATACCTGTTCGAAATGGCACGAAGTTATTAAAATAATTTTAACATACGTTCTAGTAACATATCAAGGTTACCATGAAAACAGATTTTTGATATCATGTCATACTTTCCATGTTTGTTGGGACACCCTGTATCTCATAATGAATTCTTAGACAAATCAACTGGGACCCATTTGCCATATTTTTTGTGCGGGGCCCTTTGTTAAGACATTTTCGACGCTATTTTGAACCTGACAACATGCAGGGGTCCTTTTTTAAGTCTTTGCAAAAATCATATCTGATGCGTATAATACAAGGTGTTTCAAATTCGACACTCGCCATTGGGATCTCGGTAAGAGATAGAGAGATAAAGTTGCGTATTTAGGTAATCAACAAAATGCCGCTTAGAAAGTTTCGAAATCAAAGGGCTTCTTCAGAGAGACGGAAAAAAACGCTCCTTTTTATTTTTTTATTTGTAGTCGGATTTCAAAATAAATTGCATATTAACAATGCTACTTTTTCTCCTCTACAAGGAGCCATAATTAGAATTTCAATACGACGTTTCGTCTCCTGTTTCCCAGCATCAACTTTATTTTTTCTTATGGACGCCATATTGGATTTTTGCACAGATGAGTAGAGTTTTTAATTCTGATTCCAAAAATATATAACACGTCATACGTTGACAGTGCCAAACCTTATTATCTCAAAAAATAGCAGAATTTCCTAGGTAGGCTTTGAAATTATCAGATTTCATTTGGTTCGTATATCAGACCAGTAAATGATTAAATGACAAACAAACTTCAGGTTTCAAGTTTTTGACTAAAGTAATAAAAATAAGTTCAACAAGCCATATAAATTTGGAATCAGAAAAAATGGACTATCATTTTCAGTGAAAATATACAGGGTGTTCTACTTAAAAAATACAACTTTAATCGATAGCACTTCCAGTATAAAAGAATATATTACATAAAAATCTTCATATTAGACCCTATAACTTTTGTATACAACTAGTCAAATAAAAGACTTATAGGGGGTGGTCAATTTAAACCCCGTACATCCACAACAACAGAAATATAAGAAAAATGCGTCAAGTAGGTTGACTCTGAGAAAAAAATAATGACCGGGGTCGGGAGCGTATACATATGCTAACATAAAAAAATATTATATAAGTTTACCCTCCCCGCCACCCTACGATCCCTCACTTACAAATTCTTTTATCCCTAATTTAAAAAAATGATCAGGATCCTTTGGAGTCATCAAGAAACGAAGTTTTAGTGAGCAGTACTGTCTAAGCTATAGAGGAGCCTAGGATTACCGGACAAACCGACGAAAATAAGTATAATGGTTATTTGTACATGTATCTAACATCTAAAAATAATATGTCATTTATGATTTTTTTCGCGATTACAATACTTCTTCGCCCAGTGGCGTACGAAGTAAAATTTAACAACTGTTTTGTGTTTGTGTTACGTCTCAGAATACGCTAACGCCAAAAGGCAAGCAGATGGTGCTGATCCATCCTAACAGTCACACCGATGGAAATGTGTGACACAGCTCTTCAATGTGTAGACGCCACAAAACACTAAACTTATCTCAGAAATTTTTTAGGTAATTTTTCGGTTGATTTTGGGTGAAAAGTAAAAAATGAATTCATTATGGAAAGAATAATCATTTGTTTTGCATACCTGATACAAAAATCACTATCATTTTTTTCTGAATTTTTTTGAGATGGAATTTCAAAATAAATTGCATGTTGTCATTGTTACTTATTTTGCGCTACAAGTCAAATTTCCAATTCGACATTATTATTCTTTGGACTTCCATCACCAACTTGTTTTTTGATATGGACCCTATATTGGAAATTTGTACATTTAAATGGACTTTTCAGTCCTACATTCCGTGATGTATTTCCTTAGTTGGTCATGAATTTGTTGTTCGATGAAAATTATAAGAAAATAAAAAGTTATGGTGAAACCTGAACACAAGCCAAACATTTTATTGACGGTAATAACAATAATAATCGTAAATAAGAAGAGGTAACTCATAGATGCTCAAAATCTTGTCCATTATTTTGTAGACAAAGGCTGACTCTGTACATTGTACACTACTCGATTTATTTCTCTTCTTCTGAGTCTTCCAAACATTGTTGCCATGTGCAATTTGGGGTCTGGTGTGGTATAAGGAACAAATGACTGATAATTTCGAAGCCTACCCAGGAAATTATATTTTTCTGAAATAACTAAGGTTTGCAATGTCAATTTATGGCATATGAAAGCAGAATTAAAAACTCTATTCATCTGTGTAAAAATTCAAAATGGCGTCCACGAGAAAACATAAAGTTGATGCTGGAGGACAAGAGACGAACCGTCATATCGAAATTCTAATTATGCCATCTTATAGTGGAGAAAAATTGGCTGTGTGTTACTATGTTCGTTTTGAGGTCTGGTCTTATATACGAAACAAATGAAAATTGATAATTTCGAGGCCTACCTACCTGTTTTTCTGGTATAACCAAGGTTTGGCAATATCAATGTATGACATATACATTTTTGAAATCAGAATTAAAAACTATTCATCTGCACAAAAATCCAATATGGCGGCTACGAGAAAAAATAAAGTTAATGCTAGAGAACAATAGACGAAACGTCATGTTGAAATTCTAATTATGCCGTCTTGTAGAAGAGAAAAAGTGGCAATGTTAATGTGCAATTTATTTTGCAATCCCACTATAGATAAAGTCGGGTCTTTCTCCGGATGTACTTTGAATTTGGGAACTCCCTAAGTGACAGTCTGTTGATTACCTAAATATGTAACTTTCCCCCATTTAAGCGACTTCATATCTCTTACAGTTTCCGATATCTCAATGATGGGGGTCAAATATAAAATACCATATACAGGGTGGCCCATCCATGCGTGGACGGAATATTACTCATAAACAAATACTATTTGGTAAAATCTATTTATGGGATGTTATACATGACATTTGAGGGCACATTTCTAAAATATTGGCGATTATACAGGCTGTCCCAATTTTGACCTACATATCAAAGTTGTGATTTTTCAAATAGAATGTCTCAAATTTTATTGCACATTTGGATAAACAAATTCAAAAGAAGAAAATTGATATTGATACTATGGGGTTTTGGTAATTGGCTACTGAGATATAAGGTGTTTTGTCTAGAAAAACCCCCCACTTGGGCAACCCCTCAGTCCGCCATTTTGAAATTTGGAGTGCTGAATTTAGTATCAGAAAAGAATTACACACCTCAGCTTTTATCTTATTTGTTACTTTATCGAATTCTAATTTTTGCTCATACAGGGTGGTCAAAAACGCAAATTGTAGTTTTTCTCAAAAATTTCAATTACATCACCCTGTATATTTGTACAAGTTTGGATTCAATTTTCATAGGTTTTTATTTGATACTAGACACATAAGGGTTTTTACTGCTATTTTTTCGGTTATTGGACGTCGTTTTTTGAATGGCTTAATTTCCTAAAATATCGCAACATCCTTGGAAACAAATGAATTGTTGATTAGTTACAAATATTCAAAATTAGCTTTGTGAGCATTATAATAAAAAAGTGTTTGAAAATGAATTTTTCTAAAGAAGAAATGGTGAATATGGCGAAGTTTCCTAGCATCTCGCATTCATAAGCAACGGTACCCTAATATGCGACATCCAAGGTCGGAATCATTTTCCACACTACGAGAATATTTTAGAAATGTGCGCTCAAATGTCATGTATAAAATGCCATAAATAGATTTTTCCAAAATGTATTTGTTTATGAGTAATATTCCGTCCACACATGGATGGGCCACCCTGTATACCTCCTGAACTACAGAACCTTGTGCCGAAAAAGAAACTCACCTCTCTTCAGCTCCACATGCATTTTCTCAATATGCTTGACCAGACTCGACTGCGACTCGTACACTTGGTAGCACCTGTCCCACTTGCACTGAAAGCTGATCGCGCTGCTTACATCGTCTATCTCGAGACCGTCGCAACTGTCCATTTGGTCAAAAGCAAAGTTCCTGGAGTACATTAGGTTGGTCGAGCTGAACAGGGGGTCGTCGTTCAGCAATGCGTCGGTTTGGGTTAGAACCATTTGGTTGGCGTGGGATTGGTCAGGAAAGCTCTGGTTCGAGTTGGATTCCTCGGCGATAAGGTTTGCCGATTGGCTGCCTATCAAGTGACCGAAGTCGCTTTTCGAAGGGACTTCCTGGTCCTGTAACAACGGAATTTGTGAATATTAACTTATAAAATTGTAGGACTTCTTTACGGCCTCCTTGATTTTCATAGTCTTCAGTCTCCTTCAGAAAGGCTGAGTTATTTCTAGATTTATTCTGTTCCGTGTCAGCGTTAGCGCTCTCCTATTGTGAGGTTATGTTTTCTTTTTGAACGTTAAGAAATTTCAAACTGGTAAAACAGATAAAAGATAAAAGTACTCATCTATAATAACTATATCAAATTTCAACTTTTTAACATTAGTTCTCTAAAATGTAGGCTCAATCAATTGGGCAAGAATACTTATTAGATCTATACGAGGAGGTACCCAAAAATAACTGGAATAGCATTGCAGTGGGTGGAGCTTGTGTAGTACACATTTCTTCCCCTAGAGGCGTAGAGCGCAACTCATTACCAGTTCAGTGCCATCTGAGTTGTCGATCTGCCTTGTTTCGTTCATCTGCAGTCATTATTTTTGCCAGAGCTGTTTCGTGCTTGTTTCGTTTTTTACGCAAGCTTCAGTTGAGCAACGTGCAGCTGTGAAATTTTGCTTTCTAATTGGTAACAATGCTGCTGAAACTGTTTCAATGTTGAAAATAGCTTACAAAGATGATGCTATGGGAAAAACACAGGTGTACGATTTGCTAGTGTCACTAAAAACGTACTGCGCACGCTCATGACGGTTCGCTGTACGGTACACGGCTTTGTGGGAACGAAGCCCCTATTTCACGAGTAGCCATCACAGGACGATGACGGCTAGTTATCTAGTGATATTTCAAAATTCCCCATATCGGCACAGGACACATAATTAATTTCGAGAGATCGGTGAACTTCATGTAGGCAGACCCGTATTTTGTTGTGGTTCTTTGTATGCTCCAAAGGCGTGTTATTGAAAATCGTCAGCCATTCATTATAAATCTGGTTGAGTCTGATGAGATAGTTGTGTGACTAGCATAGTGGGATTGCGTCTAATGTGTGCACTAGCTCCACAATTACTTTTTAATGACTGTGAAAAGACACGTGTCTGTAACTAGTGTGACATATAAATCCGAACATCCAGTTTAAATGGTTTTATTTTAATAAAAGTTGGTGAATGTATTTATCTTACTGTAAATAACAAGTGAAAAAATGTTCAGCCTTATCCGGTTTTTATACTGCTTTTTTTTAATTCACTAAGGCTCTAAAAATGAATATTTCAGCCGCAGTAAAGAATCAACGTTGGCGGATTTTGGTTCTTGACATCCTTTACGATCGGTTACGATGCCTAGAGTACGGAGACCTGTACGATTTCGTCAACTTAGTGAGTTTGATAAGGGCAGTATAGTCGGACTTTGGGAAGCTGAACTTTCTTTTCGGGCAATTGCAGTTAGAGTGCAAAAAGTGTAGACACTGCGGTTAGGTGTTGTCAGGCATGGCTTCGAGAAGGCCGTACGCAAAGAGCAAGGGGCACTGGACGCCGCCGTAGAACAACAGACCGTGAAGATCGTCGCCTAAGATTATTGGCCTTAAGGGACCGTTTCTCCACTACCAGGTCCATTGCAAATGAATGGTTTGCAGAACACGGAAGACCTATTGGCATGCGAAGTGTTTACCGACGAATGAGAAGTTTTGGCTTGTTTTCATACCGGCCACACTGGGTCCTCCCTTTAACTCGAGAATACCGACGTAATCGCCTTGAGTGGTGCAAACAACGGTCACTCTGGGATCAGGAATGGAACAGTATTGTCTTTAGTGATGAGTCTCGATTTTGTTTAGGCATGCACGATGGTCGTGCCAGGGTTAGAAGGCGACGTGGTGAAAGGAGGAATCCACAGTTTTTTGTTGAAAGACATGTTCATCACACTGTTGGAGTTATGGTTTGGGGTGCTATAGCTTATGGTTCCAGGTCACCTTTAATCTTCATCAGAGGTAACATGATGATATATCCACGAAGTTCTAGAACCTCATCTTTTACCCTATCTTGACACCCTGCCAGATCCAACTTTCCAATAAGATAATGCCCGACCACATGTTGCAAGAGTCACAATAGACTTCTTTCAACATAATGATGTCACATTGTTACCATCGCCACCAAGATCTCCCGACTTATCCCCAATTGAGCACGTGTGGGATATGATGGGTAGGAGATTGCTCAATTTGCAACGTCCTCCTCAGACTCTAGAAGCACTTCGAGAGGAGTTGGTGGTTGCCTGGAATGAGATACCACAGGAGGACATTGACCACCTGATCAGAAGCATGCCTAGGCGCGTTGGAGAATGCGTAGCACATCAGGGTGCATCCACACAGTGCAATCATTTTGAAATTTTTATCATTTACTTATTATGCTTCATTAAGTACTTATACAAAATTTTATTAAAATAAAACCATTTAAACTGGGTGTTCGGATTTATATGTCACTTTAGTATACATGCTCTGGGCATCCAGCACCCCTGCACTAACCTTAGCATACGTTCTGGACGTGATGAAACTTTAACGCGGTTTGCATGACCTTAGAATTGATTGTACTCACTTTTCCGCAGGAGTCGTAGGTGCTCGTGCTGTTCACTGGTGTACCTCTCAGGAAATGCCCGAAATCCACGTTACTTTTTGTGATCGTGTTCACAGGAGGAAGTGGAGTCGCGCTCATATTCACGCTCTCTGTGAAAGCGTTCTCATTGAAATCTTGCAACCCCGTCGTAAGGTCGTCGATATCCAAAGAGGTTTCGTTGAGGTCTTCTACGGGAATACTGTGAAGGTCCGCGTTTTCAGGCGTTTTGCCTTGCGATTGTTGATCGGTCACTGAGAAGGGTGGCAATACGAAGAATTGTGATGATGAGGCAGTCTTGTTGAAGATCTTTTGGTTTGTTTCGTAGGAGTTTTCAGTCGTATACGTTTCTGTGTCGAAATTCGAGTCGACCTGCAAAGAAAGACAATTTTAACTCACAAAATATGTGAGAAAAGTTTCTTTAAAATCTCACAAGTCTTTCCTATAGGACCATACAAGGAGGTACCCAAAAATAACCGGAATAGCATTGCAGTGGGAGGAGCTTGTGTAGTACACATTTCTTCCACTAGAGGCGTACAGCGCAACTCATTGCCAGTTCAGAGCCACCTGAGTTGTCGATCTGGCTTGCTTCGTTCCCCTGTAGTCATCAATTTTGCAAGAACTGTTTCGTGCTTGTTTCATTTTTTACAATGGCAAGCGTCAGTGAGCAACGTGCAGCTGTGAAATTTTGCTTTCTAATTGGTAACAATGCTGCTGAAACTGTTTTAATGTTGAAACTAGCTTACAAAGATGGTGCTCTGGGAAAAACTCACGTGTACGAGTGGTTTGCTCGATTTAAAAATGGCGACATGTCGATTGATAGCGAACCTCGCTCTGCACGTCCATCAACTGCCCGAATGGACGAAAATGTTGAAAAAATTCGAGTTCGGTTAAGCGAATTTTAACAGAAGATTTGGGAATGGAAATGGTTGCTGCCAAGTTTGCTCCTCGGGCTCTGACTGACAATCAACAAGAACACCGAGTTGAAACATGTCGTGCTTTGAAACAACAGCTTGAATCTGGCGATGAGACTTGGTGTTACGGTTATGATCCAGAAACGAAGCAACAGTCCAGTCAATGGAAGACGCAATCGTCACCCCGTCCAAAAAATGTGGTCAAGTCAAATCAAACATCAAATCAATGCAGATTTGTTTTTTTGATGTCAAACGCGTAGTCCATTCCGAGTTTGTTCCCCCAGGAGATGCCAAAATATTTCGAGCGGTGGAAACACCGCTGGGACAAGTGTATTAGTTATAGTGGACAGTATTTTGAAGGAGATAAGGTTACTTTGTGAAAAAGTTGAAAATAAATAGCTTTTAAAAAATTATTCCGTATTTTTTTGGTACCATCTCGTATATATCGCCACCAGAAAATGGTTGTTCTTATTATATCTCTGTATAGCCCTGACATAGCGAAATTGAAAAAGCACCACCATTAGAGGACTAGAGACGGACTTCCTAGATTTCATGTCTAAAAAAATGCGTAGAAAAAATGGCGACTATGTAGAAAAATAGCTTGAGCATCAACGTGCCCAACGATGAATTCGTTTTTTCAAATAAAAAATTCCTTATGCCTGAACAGAATGTGGGAACCTTATTTTTGAAACAACCCTCGTATGTATGGCTCTCTAAATTGTATCTGTACTGTTGGGCAGTAAATGCTTTATTACTATATTGAAAATATTGACTAGTCAACATGTCAATAGTTTCCTTATAATATTGTCTATACTACAACTATTTAAAACTGTAATGACTCATACGCGTGATCAACACGTGTTCAGAGCTCGATCCCGGCTTCCTTCCAGTACAGCCGTATAGCGTACGACATATGTCGTTTCTGTGGCTTTGCGGTGGTCACCAGCACAGACAGAGATGATTGTTCTCCGCCGGTAGAACCAATGAAATCAAAGACGCGCCTCGACCGGCAGACTCATAGGCGTCGGCAACGCATTGGAACGTGTTTCGTTGAGCGATCGCGTATTGTGTGTTTTTATAAGAATTGTTGTGTGATTGTTATTGTTGTGGTTTCTGTGGTTACTGTTTTGGTTATACTTAACCATGGAGAGTACAAATGGCACGAGTGGAAGTACTGAAAGCCAGGGAACAAGTAGACGGCTTCGTAAAGCACTGAAGAGGGACGCGAAAGAAATCGTGCTCAACGTGTTCAATTATCTGAACAGAACTATGTCGCAGGGAGATGCACTCGCGCGTTGTGAAAGTATGACAGGCGTTCCAGAGTGGACCATTCGCAGGGTGGTGCATGCAAAGAAGAAAACTGGAGCTACTACTGATCCAAAGTTTAATTTGAAGGGACGAAAGGCCGTTAAATTGGATGACGATAGCAAAATGGCGTTAAGGCGAACCGTACATTCATTCTTCTTTAGGAATGAGATACCAACCCTCAGGGCTATACATGCAGCGATCAAGGAAAATGAAATTATACCCCAAATGAGCGTCGAGGTAATGAGGAAATCCCTGCACGAAATTAATTTTCGTTACGAAACGCGTAATCGGAAGTCAGTATTGATAGAGAGACCTGAAATAGTCGCCTGGCGTCGAAAATACCTACGCGAAATAATTGAATATAGGCGACAAAGCAGAAAAATCTATTATTTGGACGAGACATGGGTAAATGCAGGTCACACAGTTAAAAAAACCATAGACAAAAACGTAGTGAATATCGATGAGTCATTACAGTTTTAGATAGTTATAGTATAGCTATAGTCGAAATCACGAAAGATGACGATTACATCATCATTTTAGTCTGTAGTAAAGACAGACGACAGCGATTTGCGAATATATTTCATGAAGTTTCTGATATGTAAGACAGAGACAAATATAATTTTATTGTCTAAACAAACTGTATTGCTAATTTGCATCTTTCCGACAAAGATAGACGATGTTTTCATATTGCATGATCGATCATATTTGAAAGATGAATAGTTAGGTTATGTTGAAGCAGGTTATGTTGTTTTCGAATAATACTTTGGTCTTTGGTGTTCCTGTCTTAAGGTATTCTACTCATAACTGCTTTTTTCAAAACAAAAACTCCCCACTAAAATTATTATTAAGGTATCACTCAAAACCATGAAATCAGTGGCGACGCGTGACTTTTCCTAAACTGTTACCAAAACCAGATGTGAAAAATCTTATTAAAAAAAGTTTATTTTGAACCTGCCAATTATAAGTTTTTGCTTATCTTAGGTATTTTATTGAAACTATTTTTAAATTAAGGTAAACATTCCTGGACTGAGCGTCTGGGTCATTTGATATAATGGGTGATTTTTTTGCTAGTATCTTTTTGGCAACACTGTTTTTGACAGATGACGCGTGAATCGTGTCATGTGTCATTGTCAAACTTGTTCAGTTTCGTCTATAATCAAATCCAAGCGAATAACCAAAATTTCTGTGTTATGTGCCGCGGTTATAATATGGTTCAAGATGACACACGGGTTGATGACGTCAGTTACGCGAATCGCTTGAACGCGTTGGTTTTAACCGCGGTTTTGTTGCAAGTTGTTTATTTTAGAAAAGCGCGTATATAATCTCTGATTATTTTTATTATCACTTAATAATCGGTGCTTTTTCGTCTACAACTGTATATGGAAAGTTTAAATAAGAAACCTTTCATAATATTCATGGGAGAAATGTTTTTTTCAGATTTTTTTTTAATGATAGAACCATGGCTTTGTCGCTATGATAACTTTCAATTCTCTAAATTTTTCCGCATGTCAAAGAAAACATTTATTGATTCAGCAGAAATGATGAAAAAAGAAATTAGCAAAACCGTATACAGGTGGATATCATCTAGTGAGTTTATATGGCTATATTTTAATATTCTTGTGGTATATGGCTACACAGGATACTTTGTTAAGCATAGGAACTACATTTAAAGTGTCCCCAACAACCGTAATGAGTATAACTAATAAGGTGCTCCACTTTATGGTAAAACTGAAGTCAGCCTGTATCATTTTTCTCAAAAATGAAGCTGAAGTACAATAACAATATCCAATACCCGGCAAAATTCTAACTTGTCACATTTCAAATAATAACCAGAAATATAAAACTACTCTTGAGTTGGGTAAATACCACAATTTTGCGGTGATAACTATGACATATAACAGCTGATTCGTGACGTCACGGATCTTATAACCAAACTGATAACTACACTCGCTTGAACGGATTGGTAAATACCAACCCAAAATGGTAAATACCATTTCCATTTGGTTATCCGCTTGAATTTGATTTATAATTTAACCATGAATCGACTTACGAACGAACAACACTTGCAAATTATTGAATTTTACTATCAAAATTCATGCTCGGTTAAGAGAGTGCATCGAGCACTGCTTCCAATTTATGGGCAATTTGGTCGGCCTACTGAGGGAGCTATTCGGAAGCTTGTGACTAAATTTCGAACCCAGTTTACATTATTGGACATTAAACCACCAACACGCAGACGTAGAGTGAGGACTGAAGAAAATATTGCGGCTGTATCCGCCAGTGTTAGTGATGACCGTGAAATGTCGATTCGCCGCCGTTCGCAGCAATTGGGCCTCTGTTACTCCACTATGTGGAACATTTTGCGACAGGATTTGGGTGTAAAACCTTATAAGATACAGCTGGTGCAAGAATTGAAGCCACACGACCTCCCACAACGTTTCCAATTTGGTGAATGGGCGCTGGCAAAGTTGGAGGAAGATCCACATTTTTATCGAAAAATTGTGTTCAGTGATGAAGCTCATTTCTGGTTGAATGGGTACGTTAACAAGCAAAATTGCCGCATCTGGAGTGAAGACCAGCCAGAAGCATTGCGAGAGCTACCAACGCATCCCGAAAAAATCACTGTTTGGTGTGGATTATGGGCCGGTGGCATCATCGGGCCGTACTTCTTCAAAGACGACAATGGCCGGAACGTAACTGTGAATGGCGAGCGCTACCGTGCGATGATAACAAACTTTTTTTTGCCCAAAATGGAAGAGCTGGACTTGGCTGAGATGTGGTTTCAACAAGACGGTGCCACATACCACACCGCACACGAAACAATGGCCCTATTGAGAGGCGAGTTCGGTGAACAGTTTGGGGCCCGTCAATTGGCCGTCTAGGTCGTGTGATTTAACGCCGTTGGACGATTTCTTGTGGGGCCATGTTAAGGCTAATGTCTACAGGGATAAACCAGCAACGATTGACGCACTGGAAGCCAATATTGAAGCATTTATTCGTGAGATACCGGCCGATATGTCGGAGAGAGTGTGCCAAAATTGGACCTTGCGCATGGGCCATCTAAAGCGGAGCCGCGGCCAACATTTACATGAAATAATCTTTAAAAATTAAATTATATCGACCGTTCTATCGACTCAAATAAAGATTTAATCGTTTTTTCAATTTTTTTGTGTTTTTTTTTTAAATCAAATCCTATACCTCTTAAAAAATCACCCGTTACCTCATGCTATGTCTAATCCAAGCCGTCCGAAAAAACAGTCGACGTTTATAGATGTTCGGAAAATTTTTGATCTTTTTTGGCAATGAATGTTAACAATTCCCTTTAATTTCCTCTATTGTCAGAGTCATCCCCTGCAAAATGAACGATAATTCCTGTTTTGCCAAAAAACATACGGTATCGATAAGTGTGCTGAATAAAAGCATGGTTAAGACAACTTTCGATTTTTGTTTTGCCAAACTGAATTAAATTGGCTACACATCTCACATGTAAAGGAGAAATTTCATGTCTCCTCTTTAGAGCCCTAAAACTATATAAATTGTTGACTACGCTGCTGGTCCTGCCATTTTTTCTGTATAAAACAGATGACATCGCCAACAATACAATGTTTTTTTGCAACCACACAACCAAGAGTTTCCATATACCGACTTAATTTAAAAGATCAAACTAGGTTTTTTTATTCTTTTTTAAAATTATCTAAAATAGGTGTCTTCCATCTTCAATGATCTCCTTTTTTTCTTAAAAATTATACAAGGAGAATGACTTTTCAAGTAGTTGATCGATTACGCAGCGACAGTCATCCATGTTTAATTGCACGCACACTACAGCTGGTAACCAAAAGGGCTACTAACGAGTGAGAAGTGAGAAACCAAATCAAAAAATGGTAACAAGCCCAAATAATAGTCGCAGCGCCCCACGCACTCGGGCGACCGCGATCAGACACGAGCCGGTACCGACGGTCCCCGACAGACTACCAAGTAGTATTCATAAAATATTTATTTTCAAGATTTTTAACTGTTACCAATGGACGCTTCGTCACTGCATGAAATAAAATGAAAATAAAAATAATCAGTGAAATAACCTAACTTCGCAAAATCATAATATAAATTTGTTGTCATTATGTTTCTGACTCGTGATTTTATCATCGATTACTTCAGTACAACTTATGGTATGACGAAACAGTCATCTTCCGTGATTTTGATTATACTTACCCCGTCAACATTCTGCTTGAAATTCTCTTCAAATTCGTTGAAATCGAAGTTGATATCAATATCGCTCCTGGGTGTGCTGACGGGGGTGTCGTTCGAGATCAAGTAATCAATCAGGTAATCATCGGCCGATCCAGCAAGGCAGTTAAACTCGATATCGGAGTTCGCGGTCGCCGATGTCTCGTTGAAGGTTGAGAGTATGTCCGTTTTTGTCAGGTTCTGTGCTTCGTAGAACGCCAGGTTGAATTTTTCCATCAACTCGGACTGCGTCAGGTGGTTTATCGGATTGTACAGCTGGTCAGTCATTGTGCTGCAGGTGTGTAACATCTGAAAAAAAAAATACATTTTATAAGGAAGGCATACTAGTCAAGTGGTTTACGTGCAAATAAGCTTTACTTGTGGTTACTTATGAAAGATTGTGCGTGTGTCGTGTGTGGATAGAAGGACACGAGGCGTACCTCAGAGCGTCAAGATAGGCGCTTCAGACAACTAGGAAGACAAGAAGGTAGACCTATTACTGTGCGTACACTCTATCTCGCCTTTGGACTTTTTTCATTCTGTCATCCGTTAATGCTTCCTCTGACTGCGGACCACAGTCGTCAACGTTTGAACTGGAGAGGAGAATGGCGACGTTGGGAGGCAGAATGGCATAATATCATCTTCAGCGACTGTCTAGGTACGCAAGAAGCAGGTTGTAGCGTTTTGCCGTGACCACCCCGTTCACCGGATTCAAATCCCATCGAACAATTGTGGGATATGATGGGGAGGGGACTATCCACTTTGTACCGTCCGCCACAGACTCTGCCACAGCTGATCCACGAAGTTCCAGATGCTTGGAGTGGAGTTCCATAATACTGGACAACAAATTTTAGTTTTTTAATTGTATCTTGTGGGAAAAGTCCACTTCTTTGTTAATTTTGGGGCGCTGAATCCAAAATGACAATGAAATAAAAAATTAGTTGCGGTTTAGAAAAAAAACTTTTTATTTTAAGGATATATTAAAAAAAGTAACAAGATTCATATACTTATAAGAATCACTATATGCGCTGTCTTTTTGCTGTTCTTTTATGGATCGTTTCTGGAGCATCTCTACCAAGAGTCCAACAGTAGTCTGCAAGCATGGAAGGATTTCACTTTCCCTGGTACCTTTTTCCATTGTTGAAATATCCTGATGAAGACGTTCGCCGTGCTCATCACTTACGGCTCCGCAATTGTCAGGAAAAAAGTCCAGGTGTGAGTGTAGGAAATGTATCTTAAGAGACATATTACAGCCCATCTTTTGATACGATGACAGCATATTTTTGACAAGGGTTTTATAGTTGTCAGCTTTTCTATTTCCCAAGAAATTAGTGACCACCAGACGGAAATCATTCCAAGCAGTTTTTTCAATACCTGCTAAAGTGTTTTCAAACTGTGTATCTTTCAAAATATTTCGAATCTATGGCCCAACAAAAATACCTTCTTTAACCTTTGCCTCACTTAGTCTTGGAAATTTCTGACACAGGTATTGAAAAGCTGACCCATCTCTATCTAATGCCTTGACAAAGTTTTCATTAGGCCCAGCTTGATATGCAGTGGTGGTAATAATTTTTTTTTCGAATCTACTAATGGCATATGCTGTACATTTATTTGACCTGGCTCTAGGAATTGACGAACAGGCCAGTTTTGTCTGGTGTAATGAAGTGCCTTTGCCCGACTGTCCCATTGACACAAAAAACAGCAAAACTTTGTGTAGCCTAGCTGCAGCCCAAGTAAAAGTGCAACAACTTTCAAATCGCCACAAATATGCCATTGGTGCTCATCGTATTTTAGGCATGTCAATAGGTACTTCATATTGCCATATGATTCTTTCATGTGAACTGCATACCCTACAGGAAGAGATGGTAAAATATTTCCAATATGCAATAACACTGCCTTTAAACTCAATGTTGAACTGTCTATAAACAATCTCCATTCTTCTGGGTTATAGTTTATATTTAAAGCCGCCAGTAAGCCGTTAATGTTACTGCAGAAAACCAAGTTATTCTCCATATTGAAAAATGGTTCTAAGTCTTTGCGGCGTTTACGAAAAACACATACCGAAACATCGTCTTCTAACAAGTTCCACTGCTGCAGTCTTGATCCAAGTAACTCTGCCTTACATTTTGTCTCTTACAAGATCATTTAATTCTGACTGTGTTATTTTGTGCGGTTGGTGGCATGACGTGCTCGGTATAAAATCAGGGTCTCTTGACGTTGATGGCATATCTTCTTCCTGACGAATGACTCGATCGCCATGATCTGATTCGTTCTCTGGTTCGCAAGTGTAGGATTCTGGGGGTTTTGGAATAGGATTTTCGTCACTGTGAGGCACAGGTCTCATCGCAGATGGTATGTTTGGGTAGTTAATAACCGATTTTTTTTTTGGACATACCTGTGGCTTGTCCAACACAAGGTACCATGCAAGAGCAACAATCATTAATATGATTTGTAGGCTCTCTCCAAACCATTGGGACAGCAAAGCGCATAGACCATTTTGTGCTACGTCGACATGATCACCAACTTCTTTCTCCCTCAATTACGACGGCGACGTGTTCCAATCCGACTTATGTGGTTCCAGCAGGATGGGGCGACCGCCCACACAGCCCGAGCATCCATGGACGTTATTCTGGTCGCCTTATTTCCTGGTTTGGCGATGTTCATTGGCCTCCTCGGTACCCAGATTTATCCATATGCGATTTTTTCTTATGGGGACACCTCAAGGCTAGAGTATACGCGAACAAGCCCCGAACTCTGGACGAATTGAATGGCGAAATTCGCGTGGAAGTCGCCCAAGTTGAGAGAGCGATGTTGGAGAGAGTCTACGCGAACTTCCAAGAACGCCTCCAGCACTGCATCAACGATTTCGGCCACCACATGCGTGATGTGATTTTCCACACTTGACTGTCTCAAATGCTATTTCCTTGTGAACCTGATTCAATCAATAAATTTGTTTTCGAGTAAAAATTAACTATTTTATGATTTTTTTCAAACCGTCCATCCTCTCTGCCGCACCCTGTATACATACGAAGAGATAGAGATATCTTAGTATTCATGTTCCTATTTTTGATAATTTCTTCCACGATTCAAACAAAGCATTGCCTAGATTCCAGTTGGGCGATCCTTGAGACTTTGAACAACTATTGCTCAATTGCAATCCTAATATACTAAGTGACATATAAATCCGAACACCAGTTTAAATGGTTTTATTTTAATAAAATTTTGTTTAAGTACTTAATGAAGCATAATAAGTAAATGATAAAAATTTCAAAATGATTGCACTGCTTTAAAGCCCTTTGACCTTTAATAATGTGTGGACGCACCCTGATGTGCTACGCATTCTCCAACGCGCCTAGGCATGCTTCTGATCAGGTGGTCAATGTCCTCCTGTGGTATCTCATTCCAGGCAACCACCAACTCCTCTCGAAGTGCTTCTAGAGTCTGAGAAGGACGTTGCAAATTGAGCAATCTCCTACCCATCATATCCCACACGTGCTCAATGGGGGATAAGTCGGGAGATCTTGGTGGCCATGGTAACAATGTGACATCATTATGTTGAAAGAAGTCTATTGTGACTCTTGCAACATGTGGTTGGGCATTATCTTTTTGGAAAGTTGGATCTGCCAGGGTGTCAAGATAGGGTAAAAGATGGGGTTCTAGAACTTCGTGGATATAACACTGCGCGTTCATGTTACCTCTGATGAAGATTAAAGGTGACCTGGAACCATAAGCTATAGCACCCCAAACCATAACTCCAACAGTGTGATGAACATGTCTTTCAACAAAAAACTGTGGATTCCTCCTTTCACCACGTCGCCTTCTAACCCTGGCACGACCATCGTGCATGCCTAAACAAAATCGAGACTCGTCACTAAAGACAATACTGTTCCATTCCTGATCCCAGAGTGACCGTTGTCTGCACCACTCAAGGCGATTAGGTCGGTGTTTTCGAGTTAAAGGGAGGACCCAGTGTGGCCGGTATGAAAACAAGCCAAAACTTCTCATTCGTCGGTAAACACTTCGCATGCCAATAGGTCTTCCGTGTTCTGCAAACCATTCAGTTGCAATGGACCTGGTAGTGGAGAAACGGTCCCTTAAGGCCAATAATCTTAGGCGGCGATCTTCACGGTCTGTTGTTCTACGGCGGCGTCCAGTGCCCCTTGCTCTTTGCGTACGGCCTTCTCGAAGCCATGCTTGACAACACCTAACCACAGTGTCTACACTTCTTTGCACTCTAACTGCAAATGCCCGAAAAGAAAGTCCAGCTTCCCGAAGTCCCACTATACGGCCCCTATCAAACTCACTAAGTTGACGAAATCGTACAGGTCTCCGTACTCTAGGCATCGTAACCGATCGTAAAGGATGTCAAGAACCAAAATCCGCCAACGTTGATTCTTTACTGCGGCTGAAATATTCATTTTTAGAGCGTTAGTGAATTAAAAAAAGCAGTATAAAAACCGGAATGTCCAACTGATAAGGCTGAAAATTTTTTCACTTGTTATTTACAGTAAGATAAATACATTCACCAACTTTTATTAATAAAACCATTTAAACTGGGTGTTCGGATTTATATGTCACTTAGTATAGTTCGCTCCCATGTTACATTTGAAAGTTTGAAAAGGAGATTAGGCGTCCAGTGCCCCTTGCTCTTTGCGTACGGCCTTCTCGAAGCCATGCTTGACAACACCTAACCACAGTGTCTACACTTCTTTGCACTCTAACTGCAATTGCCCGAAAAGAAAGTCCAGCTTCCCGAAGTCCCACTATACGGCCCCTATCAAACTCACTAAGTTGACGAAATCGTACAGGTCTCCGTACTCTAGGCATCGTAACCGATCGTAAAGGATGTCAAGAACCAAAATCCGCCAACGTTGATTCTTTACTGCGGCTGAAATATTCATTTTTAGAGCGTTAGTGAATTAAAAAAAAGCAGTATAAAAACCGGAATGTCCACCTGATAAGGCTGAAAATTTTTCACTTGTTATTTACAGTAAGATAAATACATTCACCAATTTTTATTAAAATAAAACCATTTAAACTGGGTGTTCGGATTTATATGTCACTTAGTATAGTTCGCTCCCATGTTACATTTGAAAGTTTGAAAAGGAGATTAGGATTAGACTTTCGCAGATTTATAACTCAACCATTATAATTTTTCATATTTTTCTGGTATCCCTCAGTTAGTTTATATGAAACTTTAGGCGATAGGTAAATGATATTCAGGAAATAAAATTTCATTGAGCGTTTGGTTGAAATGTTGAGAGAGTGAAAAATATTTCATCATTATACTCATTATCAGAGAGGATCATTGCATAAATTTAACAGACGGTTCTTTGAGTAATTTTAATACAAAAAGTTCATATAAACATAGGTCTACAAATTCTTTGATCTTAAGATACAGGGTGTTAAAATTAAAAAAAAAAAAGTTTGTTCGTAAATTTCTTAAATATCCTCATAAATGTAACCAAGTTAGGGCTAAATTAGCTCCTCAATGGTATAAATACCACCGTCAAATTACATCAAAATTATGTAAAGGATATTTAAGATATACTAAGTGACACATGAATCCGAACACCCAGTTTAAATGGTTTTATTTTAATAAAATTTTGTATAAGTACTTAATGAAGCATAATAAGTAAATAATAAAAATTTCAAAATGATTGCACTGCTTTAAAGCACTTTGACCTTTAATAATGTGTGGATGCACCCTGATGTGCTACGCATTCTCCAACGCGCCTAGGCATGCTTCTGATCAGGTGGTCAATGTCCTCCTGTGGTATCTCATTCCAGGCAACCACCAACTCCTCTCGAAGTGCTTCTAGAGTCTGAGGAGGACGTTGCAAATTGAGCAATCTCCTACCCATCATATCCCACACGTGCTCAATTGGGGATAAGTCGGGAGATCTTAGTGGCCATGGTAACAATGTGACATCATTATGTTGAAAGAAGTCTATTGTGACTCTTGCAACATGTGGTCGGGCATTATCTTGTTGGAAAGTTGGATCTGCCAGGGTGTCAAGATAGGGTAAAAGATGGGGTTCTAGAACTTCGTGGATATAACGCTGCGCGTTCATGTTGCCTCTGATGAAGATTAAGGGTGACCTGGAACCATAAGCTATAGCACCCCAAAACATAACTCCAACAGTGTGATGAACGTGTCTTTCAACAAAAAACTGTGGATTCCTCCTTTCACCACGTCGCCTTCTAACCCTTACACCGACGTAATCGCCTTGAGTGGTGCAGACAACGGTCACTCTGGGATCAGGAATGGAACAGTATTGTCTTTAGTGACGATTTTTTTTAGGCATGCACTATGGTCGTGCCAGGGTTAGAAGGCGACGTGGTGAAAGGAGGAATCCACAGTTTTTTGTTGAAAGACATATTCATCACACTGTTGGAGTTATGGTTTGGGGTGCTATAGCTTATGGTTCCAGGTCACCTTTAATCTTCATCAGAGGTAACATGAACGCGCAGCGTTATATCCACGAAGTTCTAGAACCCCATCTTTTACCCTATCTTCACACCCTGGCAGGAATGGAACAGTATTGTCTTTAGTGACGATTTTTTTTAGGCATGCACTATGGTCGTGCCAGGGTTAGAAGGCGACGTGGTGAAAGGAGGAATCCACAGTTTTTTGTTGAAAGACATGTTCATCACACTGTTGGAGTTATGGTTTGGGGTGCTATAGCTTATGGTTCCAGGTCACCTTTAATCTTCATCAGAGGTAACATGAACGCGTAGCGTTATATCCACGAAGTTCTAGAACCCCATCTTTTACCCTATCTTCACACCCTGGCAGATCCAACTTTTCAACAAGATAATGCCCGACCACATGTTGCAAGAGTCACAATAGACTTCTTTCAGCATAATGATGTCACATTGTTACCATGGTCACCAAGATCTCCCGACTTATCCCCAATTGAGCACGAGTGGGATATGATGGGTAGGAGATTGCTCAATTTGCAACGTCCTCCTCAGACTCTAGAAGCACTTCGAGAGGAGTTGGTGGTTGCCTGGAATGAGATACCACACGAGGACATTGACCACCTGATCAGAAGCATGCCTAGGCGCGTTGGAGAATGCGTGCATCCACACATTATTAATGGTCAAAGGGCTTTAAAGCAGTGCAATCATTTTGAAATTTTTATCATTTACTTATTATGCTTCATTAAGTACTTATAAAAAATTTTATTAAAATAAAACCATTTGAACTGGGTGTTCGGATTTATATGTCACTTAGTATATTTACGAAAAACAATTTTTTAAAATTTTTACTCCCTGTATTTTGAGAACGAAGAATTTGCGAACTACGTTTATATGAACTTCTTGTCTTAAAATAACTCAAAGTTCGTTTGTATGGTACATGATTAACACCATGTGTACGAAGCTATATACTAATGGCAAAAACAAATAAGCTCTTTCACCTGAAATTCATAAATAAATAAAATTTCAAAGCTGCCTTCAAACTTTTTTCACATGTACGTTAAGTAAGACTGCCAAAGCAGTCGTACCGTTAGTGAGCGACCTATTCAACACCTGTGACCTATTGACCAGACGATATAGAGATGAAGAAGTCACCTACCTTGACAACCATGTTGAAAATTCTTAGGTATCACATACGTAAAACAATGCACTAATAGTTTGATGTTCAACTTGTTGAGTTTTGCACAAGTAAATCCTACTGTTACGTAGTATGTTGATGATAATGATTGTTGTTGATAAATTCTGATGTAAATCGCAAACCGATTGCCCCCTGCGAAATCTTCATGGGACCCGCTTCCCCCACTCCTTTCTTGTTAATTAATCGAGCGATATTCAGTAGCGGAGATGAGGTCTATAGGATAACAATTATTAGAAAATTATGTTAGTACATCTGAGTTTTCATCGAGTGAAGAACGAAAAACTCTTCAGTGAATAATAATAATAATAATTCAGAAAGAAGCTTTACTTGAAGGCGAAAACTCGACATAGTAACCTGCAAAATTGGTAGTTGCCTTCAACCTGCTTACATCCTTTGATATAAGGCTGGATTAAGCGTAGAAAACCATCTCATAGGAGATGATTGAATGAATAAATAGTGATAATAATAACATTTAAAAATACACGGATCACAGATATAGCAGTACCTTTTCCACAAAACTACCCACGCAGGGAAAATCAATAAATACCTACCGCTTCTTGCCGACGAACTAAAATACGAGGGATGTCTTTTAAGTTTTGCATATGGAAATAAAACAACACGGTAGGTAGTTTTAAATGACTTTTTTTCGAAGTATTCTCCAGGAAGATTAAATACATATCTAATAGTAGTCTGTTTTTAATTTTCTGGAAAGTAAAGCAATCGTTAGAACTTAGATCGGGAATATATGCAGGATTGTCCGGAATTGAAACGTTCAAGCGTTTTTTGACACCAATTAACCCTGGCTGCATTCTGCTCTTCAGTCAACAGGTGTGGTATCCAACGAGAAACTAATTTCTTATTCCTAATTCTTCATGTAAAATTTTTTGAATTGAGGTCTTTGAGATCTTCAAGGACGCCTCAATCTCGCCTATATGTCACATGTCTGAATTCTCCATACCAACGGGAAATTGTCGACTGATGTGGCGCTTCGTTGCCGAAAACAGACAGTAACTCAGCAAGGCATTCTTGTTGCGATAATTGTCTCTGAAAGTTGTAGTAAATTATGGCGCGAAAATGTTCTCGTTTGAGTTCCATTTTTCTAATGACTTGGTGACACTTAAAAATTCACTGTAGTGAGAACACTGCACGTATCGTTGTGAAACTTTGAATTTAAGTTTACTAAAGAGTGAGGTTAAGATTCAGTACTGACGTTCGATCCGCGCGGCCTACTAGGTTTCTATATGCAAAACTTAAAAGACATCCCTCGTAGATGTGGGGAATAGAGAAGGTAGTCTTTGTGCCTGTTGTTATTGGAGCAACAGGAGATATATTAAACCAACTACATCACAGCATAGAGAAACTACAGCTTGGTAAGCGATTATATATCCAGCTTCAGAAAGCCGCGCCATTAGGAACTTGTCATAAAACACTTCTATCCTTGGTTTAGACCCGGAAGAAGGTAGAAGAACCCTCCTAAGAAGAAGCACTTCGCAATGAAATAATAATAATCTTTATTGATGTTAGGCATACAAAAGCACTCACACGTAATTGCACTAAAATATATACAAGAGAAAAAATAAAAACAATGTATTTCACTGGAGTCATCGACTAGAAAAGTTTCAATACTATAGAAAGCTTTCCGCTTTAGGTATGATGATGATATTTTAATTCAGGCAAATATTCGGGTTACGGGACATTCTGATTTATCTTCAACGTCTTCTGTCAGATTTACTAAAAATATCAGTGCCAACTATTTTTGTCGGTCTGTTCTGTATCTATTTTGACTATCTTCAATAAACGGTGTAGTGCGGGATCATATGGATGATAATGCGTATAGATTTTTGAAAATTAATGCCCTTACAGAGAAGTTTACCGCAAAAAACAAATGATTTCAAAACTATGCTTTATAGACGGCGATTATTTTCGAGCGTAGTTTTGTTTTGTGCTTCGAAAAAGGCGCTAGAAGTGACCGAAACGTCAGTAAGCTTTTACTTAGCCATGTTCTTCTCCGAAAATCATCGACTTCTAGTGGTGATATTTGAGGATGCTGATGTTGCCGGAAAGTGTAAGAGATACGAAGTCAGTTAAATGGGGGCAAAGTTGCAGTTAGGTAATTGACAAATAGCTGCTTAGAAAGTTTCTAAGTCCAAAGTACCTCCGGAGAGATACGAAAAAAAAACAAATTTTCCCAAAATCGTTTTCAGTTTTTCCTGAGTTTATTTCTAGTGGGACTTTTTCGTCTATAAGGTGGCATAATTAAAATTTCAATATAATGTTTCATCCGTCGTCCTCCACCATCAACTTTATTGTTTCTTATGGACGCCATATGGGATTTTTACACAGATGAATAGAGTTTTGAATTCTGATTCCAAAAAGGTATAATATGTCATACATTGACATTGCCATACCTTAGTTATTTAAAAAAGCAGAATTTCCTAGGTAGGCCTTGAAATTATCAGATAGTCTTTTGTTTCGTATACGTAATTTATCCCAAATTATTTTTTATCTTTTCCTGGTCTTATTTGAGATGGGATTTCAAGACTTTTGCAGGTTACAATTGTCACTTTTGCTCCTCTACAAAAGATGGCGTACTCAATTTTTTAATTCGAGGTTTCCTCTTTCGACTTTGATCACCAACTTTGTTTGGAATTTTGTACATTTGAGTAGTAGCTGTTGGATTGAAAATTATAAGAAAATAAAAATACATGGTGACACCTGAAAACGAAATGAAAATTGTTTGATGGTGATAACAATAATCATAAATAAGCAGAGGTAAATCATTGTAGATGTTCAAAATCTTGTCCGTTATTTTGTCGGCAAGGCCTGACTCTTCTCTGTACATTGTTCGCCGCTCATTTTATTTTTTTTCTTCTCAGTCGTCCGAATTCTGTTACTGTGTTCAATTTTAGGTCTGGTGTGGTATACGGAACAAATTACTGATAATTTCAGCCTATCTAGGAAAATTCTGTTTTCCCGAAATAATTAAGAAAAAACTAAGGTTTGCAATGTCAATGTATGACATATAATAATAATAATAGCAGGACTTTATTTATAAAGTACAGAGTAGCACAGGTAACAAGGCGAAGCGTCAGCATAGCTGTCTTTCAACTTAACCCAGGTAAAAAACATCAAGATTAAACATTTGTACAAGTACACATCATAATCTACAAAAAAAACAATACAAGAAAATATATAAATGTTAGTAATCTGATGATATTTCATAAATTTGAATAAGAAATGTTTCACGGTAAAAGAAGTAAATAAACATTACAAAGCATGATAGACCATGTGATAAACTTAATTGATAGCCAGGGACTAAGTAACTATTATAACTATACTAAGTGACATATAAATCCGAACACCCAGTTTAAATGGTTTTATTTTAATAAAAGTTGGTGAATGTATTTATCTTACTGTAAATAACAAGTGAAAAAATTTTCAGCCTCATCAGTTGGACATTCCGGTTTTTATACTGCTTTTTTTTTAATTCACTAACGCTCTAAAAATGAATATTTCAGCCGCAGTAAAGAATCAACGTTGGCGGATTTTGGTTCTTGACATCCTTTACGACGGTTACGATGCCTAGAGTACGGAGACCTGTACGATTTCGTCAACATAGTGAGTTTGATAGGGGCCGTATAGTGGGACTTCGGGAAGCTGGACTTTCTTTTCGGGCAATTGCAGTTAGAGTGCAAAGAAGTGTAGACACTGTGGTTAGGTGTTGTCAGGCATGGCTTCGAGAAGGCCGTACGCAAAGAGCAAGGGGCACTGGACGTCGCCGTAGAACAACAGACCGTGAAGATCGCCGCCTAAGATTATTGGCCTTAAGGGACCGTTTCTCCACTACCAGGTCCATTGCAAATGAATGGTTTGCAGAACACGGAAGACCTATTGGCATGCGAAGTGTTTACCGACGAATGAGAAGTTTTGGCTTGTTTTCATACCGGCCACACTGGGTCCTCCCTTTAACTCGAGAACACTGACGTAATCGCCTTGAGTGGTGCAGACAACGGTCACTCTGGGATCAGGAATGGAACAGTATTGTCTTTAGTGACGAGTCTCGATTTTGTTTAGGCATGCACGATGGTCGTGCCAGGGTTAAAAGGCGACGTGGTGAAAGGAGGAATCCACAGTATTTTGTTGAAAGACATGTTCATCACACTGTTGGAGTTATGGTTTGGGGTGCTATAGCTTATGGTTCCAGGTCACTTTTAATCTTCATCAGAGGTAACATGAATGCGCAGCGTTATATCCACGAAGTTCTAGAACCCCATCTTTTACCCTATCTTGACACCCTGGCAGATCCAGCTTTCCAACAAGATAATGCCCGACCACATGTTGCAAGAGTCACAATAGACTTCTTTCAACATAATGATGTCACATTGTTACCATGGCCACCAAGATCTCCCGACTTATCACCAATTGAGCACGTGTGGGATATGATGGGTAGGAGATTGCTCAATTTGCAACGTCCTCCTCAGACTCTAGAAGCACTTCGAGAGGAGTTGGTGGTTGCCTGGAATGAGATACAACAGGAGGACATTGACCACCTGATCAGAAGCATGCCTAGGCGCGTTGGAGAATGCATAGCACATCAGGGTGCATCCACACATTATTAAAGGTCAAAGGGCTTTAAAAAGTGCAATCATTTTGAAATTTTTATCATTTACTTATTATGCTTCATTAAGTACTTATACAATATTTTATTAAAATAAAACCATTTAAACTGGGTGTTCGGATTTATATGTCACTTAGTATATATTATGCATTTTTGGAATCAGAATTGAACACTCTATTCACCTATGCAAAAATCTAACAGGGCGTCTATGAGAAAAAATAAAATTGATTCTGGAGGACAAGGGATGAAACGTCATATTGAAATTCTAGTTATACCATCACTACAAATAAAGCAACGGCAAAAATAAAACAACTTTGGGAAAATCCGGATTTCCTTAACGAAATTTTATTGGTTACTTAAATACGCAACTTTACCCCCATTTTAAGCGACTCCGTACCTCTTAGCATTTCCAAGATCCTAATGGTGAGGGTTGACTGTGCAACACCCGGTATATGCATCCAATTTGATCCTTGAATAGTTGAACATTAAATCAACGATCAATGATACGTTGTGGGCTCGACCTAGCGAAAAAATATCACAACTTTTGACAGATTTCTATTTTT